CTATGAGGAGGAGGCAAACCTCAAATACGACAGAAGTAGGATTATTCCTAAACCTAACTATATTTTCATTGGATAACTTTTCAGTAAATAAACTATGTAAAGTTTCAATATCTCAACTAATAAACTCCCTTTTCTGAGGGTGAGGGCACTAACAAAAGGACTGTTCTTGACTATTTTGACTTTTATTATCCTGTAACAGAAAGTAAGATTGGGTGCCTGCAAAAGGCCATCTAACTCAAAGGCTTTACCTCCAAGTAGACCTTGGTGCAGCATAAGAATATTAGATAGGGAAAAAAAGAATTTTACTAATGGGGGTGTGCAAAACATACTGAATCTAACAATTTTAAATTCAAAATACCCTAGTTCAGCTGTGAAATAGCCTATTTTAAATGCAGAACATGCTGCCTTGAACTCCTGAATAGCATTGTTTCAAGTACGGAAACACTTCAGCTCAACACCTCCAAAATGTTCAAAATGTCCAATTTGCATTTGAGGTAGAGTGTTTTGTATTTGAGATGCAATGTTTCAAGTTTAAGATGGTTCAGTCTGAAAGGTTTTGCACAACCTCAGTTCATTATGACTTTGCTTCCTGGGCCACAAGTGGATTTTCAAATTAAATAATTCATAATCGTCCTTATTTTGAATTTACTGAACACTATTTTTCTTACAGTATTGTTTCTGGCTCGCAAACTGTATTTTTTAAAACTGCACAGAGGTTTAATTTTAGCAATATACTATCCTTGAGCTCAGATACCATCCCCATGTATAAAATAAAAATAGCTCTTATTCTGTATTTCATCTTGGCAGCCAATCAGGTTCATATTAAAAAGCTGTAGCCTACTCTTTTCTTTCACCTAATAGTAACTAACCTAAATATGACAATTATTTTCTTCTTACACACAGAAGTAGCATTACAGGTAGTCCTCGACTTACAACTATTTCTTTAACAACTGTTTGAAGTTACAACGGTGCTGAAAAAAGTGACTTATGACCAGTCCTTGCACTTAACGACCCTTGCAGCATCCCCACAGTCACATGATCAAAATTCGGGAGCTTGGCAACTAGCATGTATTTATGATGGTTGCAGCATCCCAGGATCATGTGATCACCATTTGTGACCTTCCCAGGGGGCTTCCAACAAGCAAAGCCAATGAAGGAAGCTGGATTTGCTTAAAGACCACAGCAAAAAAGGTTGTGACTCACTGAATGACCACATCGCTTAACAATGGAAATTCCAGTCCCAACTGTGGTCGTAAGACAGAAAGGGCAATTGAATGGAGAAGATGCTATATTAGGAGGGGAAAATAAGAGAAGTTCCTTCAGCCTCTGATAAAAGGAAAAACTGTAAGAAGCTGGAAGTTCAAGAAAGCACAAAGACAAAGAAGTCCAATCAATGGGTATTTGAGGTGATGGCCAAGTGAAAGGAGCCTGTATATAAATACAATGTGTAAGAAAATCCAGTATCAACAAAATAGTGTCTTCCTTATTCAAGTAACTGATAAATCAGGTACTGCACATGCTGCTAAATGTTTACACGTAGTAGCAGTAAAAGCTGTAATGAATTTCACAAGAATTTCAAATGTGCAGCATCACAGATAATGTTGCCAAAGTATCCAAAATAAGTTGAGATTCTGAAAGGAACAAAGAAGTCCCTTGATTTCAGTATAGTAAAATATTTCAATACAATTAAATTCTGATCTTCCAAACTTCACTAAGTGGACTTTGGATGCATCAGACTTTTTTTTTTGGACTTCACCCCAAACAATGGACAATGTCTATTTTACCACAGCAACCCAGACAATTGACAATATTTACATAATTTGCATCAATTCACATCTTTTATGTACTTTATTATTCTAATGGCATTCAGATTTAATAGACACTCTTTCCTCCTAAATGGTCCATTAAATTGAGGATTTACTGTATTCTAGACACAAAAGCTGATATATTAGACATTTTAAAAATACTTGCACTATAACCCTTTTCTAGCAGCTGCTCTGAAGAGAGCAAGGGAAACCAAATTAATCCTCTCAGAAGATATTCAATAGAGGTTTGTAAAGAATAATACACAATGACAGAGTTTTTAAAAAATAACAAATGGTGCAAACACTTTTTCCAACTCATTTTGTTGCCAATATTTTCTAAACTTAGTACTAGAATCAATACTTAACTGTTGAAAAAGGGAGTTGGCTATGTCATGTGTGTCTAACAATCATTCTTCCAT